GCTTCTCCTACTGTGGGCAGACTCAGTAAGGACACAATGGAGAGAGCATGTCTCTCAGCTCACTTGGAAATACTTTAGTATGTCAACAGGAAGGAGGCGAGGAGGTGGCTCTTGGCATCTATTAATTGGATGGTTGGTGGTTCCATGTCTGGCAAGATCCTAAGCTCAAGTTCCTCTTCCATTCATCCATCAGAGCGTGAATGTTACACAGAAAGCACTTAAGAATATAAAAAGTGCTTGTAAGAATGGGTGAATGACATTTGTTGTGTGAAGTGCTTTGAGTAATAAAACAGAAAAGAGCTATAGCTATATCCTATTGTAAAGTGTCCTTGGGTGACTTGAAAGGCGCTCATAAATAAAATGTATTATTATTATTATTATTATTATTATTATTATAGCAGAACCAGTCCATTTCCCATTTACCTCCTGTAAAATGTGGATAACCACCTTTGTGTGATTGCTTAGCCTGATGATCCATGTTAGTGTAAGTGAAGCTAGTTAAGAGAAAAAGCTGTCTTGGGTTTATTGAACTTCCCTCATAGTACAGGCCCCATGAGCAACAACCTAGCTACTGGAGGAAAACTACAAGCTTTGTCACCAGGTAACCCTCAAAATCCAGTGAGAGCACGAGTTCTCATGTGTGCCTGCATCCATGAATGCGTTTGCAGATCAACACACCTTATTTGGTTATAATGTACTGGAGGGAAGTGGCAGCATGGGTGAAATGACAGAATGTGGGCAAACAACATTTGAGTTTAGTCAACACTTTATGGCAACAGGAACTCGTAGACTTGCACACTGGTTATAAATTTCATATTTCATTATTATTGCAAGGAGCCCGTCTGTTCTGGAGCTATCACCTCTATTATCTTCTTCATCTTCTGTATTTTCACTTGCATACGTTCCAAACCTCTAATTACAGAGTAAACCAATGCCAATTTTTCAGCCGTGAATAATTGGCATTAACGTTCCTAAATTACAAATAGGAATTCAAAGTAGTAGACAACCTGTACACCGACGTCATCTGCGTGACGACACGGACACACCCATTTCTCAGCTGCACGCAGCTCCAGGCTTGTACATCAGCTGACACACAGCTCTAAATGTCAACAGCTTCTCAAATCCAGTGTGTATGAATCTCATAAAACTTATCTGCCCCCTTCATGTTCTTCAGTTTCAGCCTAGATGACTTAAAGCAATTAACTCATTACCTAAACGCCACTTCAGGAAATCATGTTTCTCTTTAACTCAGCACACACCTATTCCCTGTAAATGCAAACTAAGCACTCCTTCCTGTTTTGCTAAAGCATTCACATTCAAGTGATGCCTGAAGGCAGCTGGAAATAGTGAGTGTTGTTTTACAGCAAACACCAGTATTGTGCCTGCATGCACCTGCCTTTCCTATATACACACACACAACACTATGAAAGCAACAAAGCTTTGGACAAAACAAGCTTCACCAGGTCACAGCAAACAGCCAAACAAAGCAAGGTGCAGGAGATCTCTGCACAAGCTCTTTGCAGGACCAGACAGTGGACCCATCATACATTATTAACAAGAAGCAAACTATCCATTTCCACTTATACTGACAGGTTGTTGGTTCTTACAGTGTGGTACGGGGGCCACTAATGGCCTCCAGCACCAAGCCACCACCAATAATCAATTAAGATAATAGCAATCACCAACTACTAATTTTTCACCAAACAATTGATTGGGAGACTCGAATGTCAGAATGAGCTCATGTTTCTGAGCTTTGGAAAACCCATCTTAGGCTCTAAGATCCTGTGGAAATTTGTGCCAAATTTTAACAAAACATGGGTCAGTTAAATCCACTATTCTCGTTACATTTGTAGGGGGAAACTTTCTATAAAAAAAACAATACTGCTTAACTTAAAAAGTTAAAACAGCTATTTTGGCTTCACACAACTTGTGTCAACAGAAATGTCTGGATTTCAAAGGATGAGTATCTGTGAGCCAGTTTTGGCTTTATTCAGACCACGTTTGCAGGCTTCAGGACATCCAACTTGATAAAACTTACTTGAATGGAGTCGTTCGCCATGGCTGTCCCTGTTGCTGCCTTCAGTCCGTGCAGATTCACGGACAACTTGTGCACATGTGGGGATTCGGCCCACAGATGAACGCGATGTCTCCTTTCTTAAGACAATAAAATAAGAAAAGATACTCGTATAGGCCTGCGAGTCTTATCTCAACTTCAGGCAAATGTGTAATAACACAAAGGCAAACAGTCAAGGGGTAATCCGCATTGTAGGTCCGCCTGTGGCCGCGCCTGAACCGATCCACCCTGTGTTGTTTAACCAGCGTTAGCCCCCACTCCACTCCACGAACAATCAAAACGGCTCCACCGTGTGTGCGCGTTTTAACAAGAGACACAAGTCATTCAGATAACTGCAAACTACTGAGCTCCGCAGTCATTCATCACCATCCTCTTCTGTGAGTATCTGCCATTCAACAGCTAAAAATCCAGCAGCACGTCCCTGCTGAACGGTCACATCCACAGCCGACATGAAACCAGAGGAGATCCCCCGTCTTCCCTCTCCCCAGCTCCCGGTTACATCCGTGAACACGCCTCACAGCCTCCTCTCTCTTATCACATGCCTTACAAGAAGAAAAAACCCGCCTGTCAGTCCTTCACACAGCCGCAAACCCAGGACAGCGGGAAGCTAACCTGGGCGTTACACATCCCACTCTGGGCTCAAGTCAAAAAACACCACAAAAGAGCTCCTTCTTTGTTTTGCCGCTCGAGATGGACAGCCTCACCCGCCGTGAGACATCCAGGCAGCGGTTAACTGACGGCAAAGCGGCAGCACGCAACACTTGTACGCGAGACCCCGGCCGCGCGCTCCCGACGCCCTTCCAAATCGACCGGGCTGCTCATTGGTCCAGAGCGGGGCAGCGGGGGCGCGCAGGATAGGTCATGTGACATGCTGCAGCGCTGCTTGTTACCTTGTAATGAACCAACTGTTGAATTTGTAAAGCACGCAGAGCCTTTACCTGCCTCATGGTGATTCTATTCAGTAAATACACACAAATACATAAACAAAATAGATCTACATCAGTATGTACAACAGCCTGTCTCACCGAAAAATGAAGAATAACAACCGCAGTACAACTTCAGCCTGAAGGTACCTGATTATTATATATTGTTTTATAAATAATATTAAATGGAAACTAACACTCCTGTCGGCTAAAGACAGGAAACTGAGGCTAAAAGTTGCACAGTCTCACCCCAAATTATCTGGGCATCAGAAAATTTGGATGAAATTTGCTGGTCTGACGAGTCTTATTTTCTGCTCCAACACCCAAACGGTCAGCGTAAAACAACATGAAACCGTGGATCCATCCTGCCCCTTATCAACAGCTCAGCCTGGTAGTGGTGGTGTAATTTTGTGGTGGATATTTTCTTGGCACACTTTGGGCCCCTTTGTACCGAAAGAGCATCATTTAAACACCCCAGCTTACTCCAGTATTGCTGCTGACCACTTCCAGCCCTTTATGACCAAAACTACAGGTCTCAAGTGTCTGAAGACAAGTAATTTGCCATTGGAACAACACATAATACAGATTATAACACACCATTAGCCATCCCACTTTCACGTTTACATCAATAAAGAAAAACCTTGCCTTTGAAAAGCCATAAAAAAACCCAGATTTACAGCTATGGAGGCCCACCTGTTTAACAGGCTGATACTCTCTCATTGAGCAGAAATGTTAATAATAATGTAATACAAACCCTGCGTGTGGGAGAGAGAAGCTCATGACAGGGTCAGTTGATGTTAGGGTGGTGTGAGTGGGTGTCTGTGTTAGATTTAACAAAGATAAACTGATGCACATTTGCATATCTCATTTGCATCATGAAAATCTTTCAGCGGGGGCAGAGGACAAGAGCAGGGACAGAGGACTCACATACCATATCCTAAATATATGTTAAATGTGTAGGCTCACAACGATAAACTTAATACAGCTGAGTCACCTACGGTCATCAAAGAGCTGACTCGAGCAGTGAAAGGCAGCAATAACTCATGATAAGGCAAACAGATGTCTGTAATAAACTGTTAAAATTTCCACACAGATGTTTTAGTCCAGTTGTTCTGAGGGGTGGAGTTATTTAGGTTATGAAAAACTTTTCTTATCTCGGTGATATCTGCTAACAGAGCACGGCATGATGGTTAATCTCTCTCTGTATGAAGGAGGGACTGAAAACAAAATTAGGTGTATTTGCACAAGCTTTGAAATGCAAGCACTAGTTTTATATTGGTATTTGTCATATTGGCTGATATCTGCCTATAAACAAATGTTTAAAGAGGACCTATTAAAATGTAGTGTTTTCAATTTGTTTTCATTATTATTATTAGTAGTAGTAGTATTTAGGTTTCAGTTTAGTTTAGTTTCAGTCATTTTCCAGGGCCGCATTGAAAGTTTCACTTTAGTTTTCAACTGTAGAAACTGTTCATTTTCAGTTTGATTTGTATTAGTTTCAGTGTTAGTTTAAGATTTCCCCCAATTTCACAATAACAATAATTCAAATATGTGGCATAAAATCAATAATAATCAGCTATCATTTGCTCCAGCGCATCTGTTTTAGCATATTTGTGCTGCAGGAGAAAAAGAAAAAAAAAATCGGTTTCTTTCTGCCACAGGGAAAATAATGAATTAAAAAATTAAATAAAAGTTAAACCAAGTCTCAGGGACTTGAGTCAAAATTTTCAGTTATGAATTAAGTATCTCGAAAGTTAATTCGGAATTTCAAGATATCTTGAAATTTCAATTTATTAGGTGGAAATTTTGACTCAGAGACCCATTTATGTGGTTTTGTTCTGTTGCTTTTCAGTGTCAAATAAAAAATTAAATTAAAAAATAAAGAAAAATAAAGAAAACGCACAATTGCAGGCAGTGTAAAATCGTGAAGCTTATAACTTTACGTGATTTATTTTTTTTATTTACTTTTTTGTTGCTAGGCAGGGACCTTTGACCTTGGACAAGAGGCTGACGTGCAAAAGAAGGGTAACGGCTAACAGCTAAGCTAGCGAAGTTGTTAATGGTAAACTCCGGCTCCCAGTAAACGTGCTAGTGAGCTGGGGCGATCCCAGCATAACATTTAACAATCATTTTCGTTAATTCTAATAAAAACAGTATTTTGCTGCCAAATTTCACTTTCTTTTCGTGTTTGCGTCTCATAGCTAGCTAGATCGCTGTGTTATCGTGAATTAGCAGGACGTTAGTAAAGAGTTCACTCGTGATGCCTGTGGCAATGCCAGAAATGCTTCTCTAATGTAGTTTGATTTTCAGCAGCTGTTCAGTTAACGTCCACTTGCCTGCAGCGGGAAGCATGTCGGTCACTGAAGTGTCAGCATCAGGGCAACACCTGGATCTGGATCTACAGGATTCAGACGGCAAGGACCGTCTGCAAATCGGCACATATACAGGTCAGAGGGTAGAAGACACTGTAGTACATGTCAGTGCAAAAGAAAATTGGCTGTTAGGAGGAGGATGAAGAGTGGGCAGGTGGCTGGTCCGGATCACATACCTGTGGAGGTATGAAGATGTTTAAAAGAGAGGGCACCGTTTAACACCGTTTTGGAGAGTTAGAGGAAGAAACGGGGAAGAAGTGGTACTTATTTTCAAGAACAAAAGTGTAAGAGCTGTAGTAACAACAGAGGGATAAAGCCGATGAGACATACTATGAAGCTGTGGGAAAGAATCGTTTAAGCTAGTTTAAGGAGAGAGGTGGCAATCGCTGATCGCCAGTATGGTTTAATGATGACAAAGAGCACTACTAAGAATTTGCTGTCGGTGCCTTGATAGAGGATTACAAGGCTGGCCAGCAGGACATGTATGAATACAGGTGTGTGGTAGGAATAACAGATGGATTAATGAGGAGGAGGTGGAGGTATGCTCTGGAGAGAAGAGGAATGAAAGTCAATAGAAGCGAGACAGAATACATGAGTCTGAGGTGTAACAGTGAAGATACAAGAAGGACAGTAAGTAAAGGTAGCTGAATTGAAATATCTGGGTTCAACCATCCAATTTAATGGATAGTGCACAAGAAAGGTGAAGCAGACAGTGATTGGAGGGTGGAGTGGGTCGAGATGACTGTTTGGAGAAGCAGAAAGAGTGATAAAGTTGCATTATGGTAGTGAGACCTGCTATGATGTATGGTTTGGAGACGCCAGCATTAGCAAAATGACAGGAGGCAGAGTGAGCAGGAGAGATTAGAAATGAGTGCATTAGCTCAGTTTGAGTAGTTTGGACATAAAGTTAGAGTCAGCTGATCGATACATGAATTTGTAGGAACATCACGGTTACACATTTGTTTTAGTGTAATCGCACCACAAAAGTGATGTAGAGACTGGAACACAGGAGGCTGTATAAAGAGGTGTTTTACCATCATCTGTTTTCTATTATGTTTTAATTTATGTGGGTATAGCACATGTGCACCATTCATTTTATGGTTTAGTAAAATTCTTTTAAATGTTTAGTAATAAATATAAAGTGAAAAATGGTTTTGATCACAGGCGTGCATGGTTTTTCTCCTAAAAAAAATAAAAAGTAGAAAATGAATAAATAATGAATCGGAAAAAACATAATACTAATTCAAGAAAAGAAAACCAATTTTAAAAAACAACATAAAATGTAAATAAACATCTAACAACCCTTTTAATTTACTGTTACTTTTATAATTTTTCTTTCATAAATTCATAAACATTTGAAGAAACAAACCAATCAAAATGAAATCGTTCCAGTCTGATCCAAAACCCTGTAAATTGATGTGGTTTAAACCTACAGGAGAACATCAGCCTCTCCATCATGTAGTAAACAGTATGGAGACGTTTTTGGTAATGGCTTTCTTTGCAGTCAGCATTACCCTAAAAATATCTCTGTCTCCAAAGTTTCTAATTCTTGTATTTCTTTTTCAGAAAATATTAAACCTTAATGAAAGAACACTGTGAAGCGATCATCATCATGCTGTTCTCTGTGTTTATGCACATGATTAGGTGTTTCAGAGGCGGAGAAGCAACTATCGTTTTTAGCTGACGTTGCTGTGGCGCCATCCTGTGGTAAATATGGGTGCTGCAGCTGCCCAGACTTGAGCCAGGTTGAGAAAAGCATCTGGCTGCAGCTCCAGTTCTTCTTGAGCAAAACAGATTGCGTACTTGACTGCCTCATCCAGGGGTAGGTTCCTGCTTTGTTGCACTCATTTTGGTCATTTCTCTGTATCATGAAGGTTTTTTGTGTCCTGGCAGGCAGAAGTGTGTAAGCAGGGACACTGTAGTTACTGCTGTGCAGAATTTCCTGTACACCTGTCAGCCTTTCTTTAACCACCTGGAACACCTAACCAGAAGCATCGTGTCCCAAAGCAACCCTCTGCCAGCTGAGAGTTGCACAAGGGTAAATTTTCACAGTTTTATAGCATTTTTTTCCTCATGCATATGAAAAGTTTGGAAAGTTACCATGCTCAGATTGCAAGCTAAAAGGAATTTCAAACACCATAAACATTGCTGAAGTTGTAGGGTTTTTTTTTTAACCCCCCCCACCTCTTGATGATAAACACCTGCATTTAGAAAAAACATTTGTTTACTTGTTAATTAAATTGATTTGAAAATCTCAAATAAAGGAAATCATGTAGGCAACAAACACTTTTCGCACCACTGTAGTTGACTTTGATTGGAAGCAACAGGTTCATCTGTTGAGTAGTTAAATTATGTATTTGACAGAAAGCTTATTGCACTTCATATAAGAAATGAATCCTATGTTGTTGTGGTCAGTCGCTTCAGAACAGTGTGTGCATCAGCTGTTGGAACAAACTGCCCGAGCGGAAGGTGTATCGGTGCCGTGTGTGTCTACAACTTGAAAATTTTGTGGTTTATATTTACTCTAAACTGTGTGTATGTGTGTGTGCAGCTGTTGGACTTCTCACAGCAGCTGTGTGACAAGTTGGAGCAGATGCTGCTGAGGTGTTCCAGCTACAATCTTCTCAGTTTGGATGAGAAGGAGCCCCAAAGGTGCACGCTTATGCAAACGAATACTTGCTTTTGTTTACGGTGTGTTTGTACTATGAAGCAGAATTTAGTCTTATCGAGCTACAGTTGTGGGTGGAAGTTTGCATCCACTCATTATGGGAATGAATGTCATGCTTTTAAAATTTTGAACCGTTCTTTTTCAAGAATTGGGTGCACAAGTTTGAATTTATTTTGGATTTTCTCTAAAGTCAAAAAATATAAATTAACTCACTCAAGCCCTGTAATAAGTGGAGATGGAGATTCTATAATGAACTCTAACTTGACAAGGCCAAGCCTGACTAATACACATTAACCTTGTGTTAGTGATTATGATTGACTAAAACTGGTAGTTTCTCTTTGCTGCATAAAAACGATTTGTTGGACAGCACACATTGGATTTAGAACAATGAGAAAGTCCGAGGAACTCTGAAGATCTAAGGAGGAGAATTGTAGATTTATAGAAGTCAGGAAGGTCTTCTTTTGGAGCTATTTCTAACTGCAGACCCAAACGGTCACCCACAGATGGGATCGGTTAGGATGCTCAGGAACCATCCAGGAGCCAGCAAAGCTCAAGCCTGCCATGAAACTGCTGGAGCCAATATCCAGCCAGAATTATTCCATGAGCATATTAGCGGGAATGTATGTATACTTTGACTCTGTATGGATTAGAGTCAATCCAAAATAAATTCAAACTTGTGCACCCAATTGTTACTGAAGATGTATACGGTGCAATTATTCCACCCTGGAAAAAGAACAGTTCGATTCTATAATAAAAAAAGACAAAATTTACCATGACATTCATGCCACTGATGTATTTATTTAAACTTTTGAAACTGTTACGTCATTACAAGTTATCAATGTGACTAACTTATGATTCTCCAAATCCTCATCCTCCTGTTGTTTCTGCTCATGTCCACATTTTATATCTAGTACTGTTTAGCTGTCACACATAAACCTGTAATAATTTTAAACCTCATGTGGTCACATTTCTTCCGTCCTACAGATTACTTCACATTTTCTTTGCACCTGCGTGCAGAACCTACTGTTGAGAATCAGCATTTTGTGATTCTTTTTTTTAATACTCCCATCATTTTCGTCTTCTCTGCACAACCCCAACACTGTGACTGTTGCTATAAACCTTTCACTCTGAACATCAACGTCTTTTGCGTTTTTGTTCCCAGCGTGTCTCAGTTCTGCATCGGCCAGAGTCAGCTCGGCCACCTGAGGCTGACCGTTTTCCGTTACTGTGTACCCACGCCGTACCTCTCCCAGGTCAACACGGGGCTGTACAAACGCATGCGCTGGAACGTGGAGAAACTCCACAACGATGAAGAGAAAGAGGCAGAAACTGATTAGTGAGTCTGGATGTTGAAGCATCTCCATGTTCCGTTTCCTATTTCTTGCTCACTTTAAGTCATTAAAACTTCTCACCTTTCATGTGTCATTCCTGGGTTTCAAGCTACTTCCTGTGCTGTGAGGATTTCAGGCCACACAGAGAGGCTGATGATAGCTGCAGTCATGATGATCTGAAGGGGATCTGGTCCATTGGTCGCTGGGTGCAGGTGGACCCGGATCCCAACTCAGATGATATAAATGACTGGTAGGCTGCTATTTATGAAAACTCTGAGCTGTGTCCCCGATTAGGATTTTCTGACTCATCTGTGTTCATGTCTCAGGATCTTGTGTGAGGTCCCTCTGGCCAACTACCACAGACTCTTGTTTCTGGGTGAGGACGAGCCGTCTAGCTGCAAGGCTACAGACTCCCTGATGAAGCTGCTTTTGACTCTGGAGACAGATTAGCAACGAGCATCGTTTTGGTGCCTTATACAAGACCTAAGAAACTGTTCAAGGTTTAAAGTACGTTGAATGCAGCGTGTTGCCGATTCATCTGCATCCAGCTGATGCGAGACGTTTGAACATCTAGTTTCAGTTTGGACGTCAGAGCAAGAATTAAGTATTTGTGTGTTTCCGTGTTGTTTGCGATACGTGACCACTTCACTGGTTGGTCACAGTGACTGCATTCAGGCATGCTACTTTTACGTTCACCGCTTCATTCAGACACTCCTGCAGCAGTGATTGAGAGACGGGCTGAGAGTGGACATGCTTTAACGTTACTGCAAACAATAAAGAGGCTGTTCTCTGCTCATCTGATTAACCCATATCGACATCTAGAGTCTTGTACTACTGTGACTCAGCATAAACAAATCCTACTACATTTACTTCAGTCATATTAGCATCACAGCTGTTGATGGCAATTGACCAGGAGGCACCTTTAGACCTGAAGCTGAGCTGTTCAGATGACATCTGGAAACCAATCCTTAACCTTAAAAATAAAAGGACAGCGTCTTAAACACATCTGTGGGAACTCTGGGAAAGCGGTGCATGTCTGAAGGGGCTGTAAATAGGTCGTGTCTCTATTAGTGCACATGCCATCATATTTTAAAGTAGACAAAGCCTGTTGCGCACGAACCCTAGAATGTCCAGCTGTTAGAAGGTTCAGTGTCTTTTAGTTTGCATCTGGACATCAGAAGAGAAACTGTTCTACTTTTGTTAGTTGTAAAAACACAGAGGCGCCTGAAAACCTGAGGAGGTGAAGTTGTTCAATACTGTGAAGTTTGCATGTATGGTTTTTAGGTTGTAAAAGATTTCTGCAGAGTTCATGTCTGATGTTTTCAACATTCCCACAGTTGTACAATTTGTAATCGCTCATGTTGAGAAAAGGCAAAGTGTTATTAAAAAAAAACCCCATTTTATTTACATGAAACATTGCATTGTAATAATTACACACAATCACAGATTTGCCTACAGAAATGAACAAAGACATTACACTTCAGAACAAGCTGCCACGGTCTGGGCCTTGAGCGAGACGGCCCGATTCGGTTCATTTCACCCGGTTCACGAAGACATTAAAGGAGCACACACAGGCTTCCTTTTCAATAAATTACAAAGCAAATGAGAGCCCGACGGACTCTGAGCCCAAGTAAATAACGAAATGTGTTCAGTTTGACCTTGTAACCATTCAGCTCATTAGTTCTGTTGGTTGAACATGAAGAAAGGCAATTTACTTAGAATAAAATCTACCATTTACACTCAACATCTTTCATTCTCTATTCAATAAAAATCTAAATATAACTCTTAAAACTGCTACTATAACTCTAAAACTCTGAAGTACAAAAGTAAAGTGGAGTATCCCTTCATTACAGTGATCAGTCTTTAATGATATACCCGCAAATACTTGAAAACACACCAAGGACATAAAAAATACTGAGCGCCACGTGTTCCCCGCCTGGAGCTGCAGGAATGCAAACTTTAGAATACGCTCGAACATGTGGCGGACTCTCTGCTGGAGCCAATCGTGGGAAAGGGCAAAAGTACCGAACATCGAGTCTCAGTCTGCGGTTTAATATTCGGGTCCCTGCTTTGAATTCCATTATCAAACACAATTCGGTCTTTATGCCACTGATCCACAGCGGAAAGGCCAAGGCAGCGAGCCAAGAACTGACTCAACAGGATGTGGATGGAGGGGAGGGGCGACGAGTGCCAGATTTATGAGCACTCCATTTAGATTCACAACTAGAAGCAGAATTAAACACAAACGGACATCAACATATGGCACTTTTAAACATCTCCTCGCACCTCACAGCAGTGTCGGTTAAACCCAGAGCTCAGTGGTTGCGTTGAATCTGCATCTGACAGCTGGCCTTAAAGCATGCAGTCTGTCACTGAAGCAACGCAAGTATGAGAACCTAAGGAAGACTTTAAATATAACGTTGGGCTACAGATCCTGCAAAAGCATTTAAACACTAACCAGTTCTGTCCATTCTAAACAATGATAATAATGATAAGAACACAAGCTTACTAAAACCTGATTCCAGTGTTTCAAAGGGGTTGCACAGACCACAGGTTGTACTGACCTTTGGTGAGGAAATGCGATCTGAGCAGCTCAGACTGACATCATTTCCTTCATCTTGTCCTAATCTAACGATTTCTTTTACCTCAATCTGGAATAACTTACATTAAAATAGGACAACAGGGACGTCTAGGCCTCAAGAATAACTAGATTTGAACGGGTAAAAATTTAAAACACTATAAGGAATTGAATTAAGTGCAATCTGAGTGTGTTCCCACTTTTACCTAAAGTGATGATGATGCATGTAAACAAACAAATTAACAGGTATGGCTTTGATTTAAAAAAAACAAAACAAAAACAAACACCCACACAACCAAAAAAAAAAAAAAAAAAAAAAAAAAAAAAAAAAATCGCAGGTTCAAGTGAGGAACAGTTTGCCTTACTGGGATCAGCAGTTGCTGTTTGGCACTGTGTGCGCGTGAGTACAGAGATTCAGCAACAGTGTCCAGTTCCACCCTGTCAGTCAATAGATGTGGTGCATGATGGGAGTCTGTTAGTGATCGTATGGTTTCAGGTGTGTGATGTTCTAGTGTGTAAAGTTGGTGTTTAGAGTTGTGCGAGAGGTAAGTGAGGTGCTGAGTTTCAGCGTGCGGCGTCAGGTTGTGCTCATCTGCTTGAGTTTCATCGGCAGAGATGAAGCTCGGGTTCTTCGCCTGCAGAGTGAGAGGCTTTCAGCAGAGGCTCTCAGGCGGTGTCACAGCTCAGGTCCTGTTCTTCAGTCTTGCCTGGTTTTACATGCACGTTAAAGCAGACCTAAAAATCGGGTTTGAATATCAGTCAAGCCTGACTGATTTAGAATTTTAAGACTAATGTTTGGCAATTCAAAAATTTGACATTGGTTGATTTGTTTGTTTGTTTTCTTTAAAATTGTCCTTGCTGTCCTTTCAGCTCGGGCTCTAATCTGATCCCTTTTCTCATTCAGAATAGTAAAAATAAACGAGCATAGAAATACAACCAAACATACGGTAACTGACGCTATGGATACATTTCTCTTTATAGTGTTGGCAATGAACATTTTTCCTACTTGCAGAGAAGAATTTTAAATATTTACCTAAAGACGTTTCACCTTTTCAGTCCATTTAGTTTAATTTACCATCTTAAATACTGCCTGAGAGTCTTACTCATTAACTTTTTTGCATTAATTAACAGCAACGTGTTTGGAGAACCAGCCAATAATTCAACTGTAGCACCACCAAACATTGGTAACAGTTTTGTTTGTGCTTGTTTTCACAGTACAGGAAGAAAAACCATCATCTCTGAAATTAACTCGGGGCAGTGGTTCCATCTCTTAAAAATAACATTGGTCACTTTTTGCCACAGCTCTGAATTTTAGCTGCTTTCAAAGCCCCCAGTAAGTAGACATACTCAGTAGTTTGGAAGAAAAACAAGATTCAAAGAAAGTCTAAAAAAAATAAAGAGTGCGTGGAACAAAGTCATTCGCCACCCTGGTTGGGAACCACTGATCTACAGCACCACATGATCATGGGTCTGGGCAGAGTAATACAATTTGCCTTTGTGATCCCTTCGTGTACTCTGAAAATTGCAAGTGACTTAAGTGTGATCTCATTTATGTTCCTTATCAGATTATGTAATATTGATGATGCCCAGCCCAAAATGTTTACCTCAATCCATACGGCTCTTCTCCAGGAGTGAATATCGGGAGTTTATACAGTAGACTGTTCGTCACCCTGTGGTGTGTGCATAAACTGGCAGGACTTGTGTCACGTTCCCTGTATGAATGCGTGACTGGTCCTTCAGTGGTGAGTCTCCAGCTCTACCACCGTCCACTCCCCCTGTGGCGAACTGCCCGTGGCCTCGGGGGAGAAACTACTCACGGAGGTGACCGTGGCAGAGGGAGGAGCGAGTGAAGGCAGCAGACTGGGCCACATGCTGCTCTCCAGGGGGCTTAGTGTGCCTCCTGCACCTCCTGGCAACAACAGCAGCGAGGAGCAACTATCTCCATTCAGTAGCAGGGTCTGATTAATTAGCTGTTGGACTATGTCCACTTTCTTCCCCCAGTCCAGATCCAAGGGTGGAGGCCGCTCTGGAGACTGGGAAGGGGAGGAACTTTCTCCATCCTGGGAAGGATGGTGAACGTCCTTTTGCTTAGGTTCCTTGTGTTTAGTAGGTTTTAGCTCGTTTATTTCTTCCTCACCATCCACTTCCTCTTCATCACTGTTCTCCAGGGCTTCGTAGATGGTGCAGAGGGCAGAGGAGGGGGACAGCAACACCGTCTGACCTTTGTTAGACTGCTGTAGCTCCTGCTGCCATTGCATGATTTGCTGCCTTTGCTTCAGCTCCTCTTGTTGCTGCTGCAGCTGCAGCTCCAGGTCTCTCCTCTGTCTAAGCTCCTCCTCCTCTTTCTTGGCTGCCTCTGCTTGCTCCTTTATCCGCCTTGCCTCCTCTTTATTGCGCTTTATTTCTTCTTCAGCTTCCTCTTTCTTCCTTCTCTGCTCCTCTTCCTGCCTCCTCTTCCTCTCCTGCTCCGCCTCCTCAAGTGGTTTGCTCTGTTGTTCCCTACGTTGTTCCAGCTCCTGCAGCTGTCTCTGATGTTGCTCCAGCCTGCGGAGCTGAGGGCTCAGCGCCTGCTGCTCGAGGCTCCTGGGAGGGAGGTCGGCACAGGTCAACCTCGGTGGGGTAACGCCGGCGCTGTGAGGTTTGATAATGTCATAGTAGGCTCTGGTGTATGCTGCGTGATCGCGGCGGTGAGGGTGCGGTAGTGCAGTGAAGCCTGTGAGAGAGGAAGTGGGAAGGAAGATTCAAGTAGCATGACATACAACAGAAGGTAACAGGCAGCAGGACAGTGACAGCGGTGCAGTGTGAGTACAAGCAGAAAGGGTGTAGAGGGAAAGGGCAGCCTTTAAAGGCTTGTACTAGATAAAGAAATGATGAAAGCGCTGTAAAGCCAAGGCCGAATGTCTGCCGGTAGCCTACAGCACCAAAGTGACCAGCAGTTATCTGTAATTTTGCAAGTGACAGTGTGGCATTGTCAGAGGGGTTTAAATAATTAAAACAATAATGAGAAGGAAAAAAAAAATCTCAACACACCAAAACAAAACAATAAAATTGTTTCCTAAGGTGAGGTGACTCAGGGCAGTGACTGGGCCGAGGGTGGGAAATTTGTGCAGAGAGCAAAAGGTTTGTTTCGTGTTTTTCTTTTTTGTAAA